TTCAAAACATGCAATAGAATAAGCAAAAATTATTAATACTAGATGAATAATTGATGTAGATGTGTGTTTATGATGTATATACTCTTTTGCACTGTACAATGTATGGTTTAACAGGAAAGCTTTCAGTTTATTTTTGAAAGTGTGTATTGAGTTTAAGCTTTTAAATTCACTTTGTTATATAGTGTATACTCCTTCTATTTTTTGAAAGAGGGAAGTTTCCCTGTGTGAAACATGTAGATTTCTTTTTTGTCTAGTATCAATGTTATGAACTTCTGTGTTTAGATTAACAGAATCCTTGTTTCCCATAAGTGTCTTCTTTTTGAAGTTTAATATTTCAATTATGTATATGCATGGGAGTGGTTAGATTTGTAACTTGAAAGTTGATTTAGGGGCTATTTTTACAGGCATGTTTTTATCATCAATTGTGCTGGAGGCTTTTCTTTAGAGAGTGGATTCTGAAAGTTTAGGAGGACAGTTTCACTGGTGTTTATGATGAGTTTATTTTCCTGGAACCATTTTACTAGTGCCTCTAGGACTGTTTGTGCTTCTTTTTGTAGATTTTGTTATGTATTTGCTTTAGTAATGTCACTAGAAAATGAATTCTGATGTCCTAAAACATCACGAAAAAATTATCAATAAAATGCTTTTAGAATGTTTTTAAAATGTCCTAAAAGCAAAGAAAACGACGTAAAATGAATTAAAATCAATTAAGATTATTAAATTACACTGATTTTCAGGTATGAACTGACACTGACACAGCACTTTACAACCCGGGACACAGTAGTTATAATAGGTGGATAGAATGGCATTAACCATGGCAGCCAGCTAGAGCCAAGCCAACAAATACAAAAAATACAAAAGGCTGCCCAGAAAACAAATGAAATTATGACAACTCTACCCCCTTGGCACAACAACACTCTTATAAACAACAAGATTAAGAAAGCAAACAGCATACTCACACAGCATCTGAGAGATACACAAATTACATTATTTAACTTAGACTTTCTCTCAGAGACTCTCTTCACCTGGCATGGTCTCCACCTGGGACAAGCTGGCAAACACGCACTAGGAATCAAGTTAGCCACACACATCCTAGAGGCTCCTTCACTGCTAGCACCATCTGCACTCTCTACACCACCAACTCCTCCCTTCACACCAGTCCTTACTCCCTCAACATCAGTCTTTGGTCCTTCCACAACAGCCCCTTCTACTCATCCTAATTCAGCCTCAGCCCCTAGTCCTGTGACTCCCACTCCCACCTATGCTGTCAAAGCCGCAAACCCTCCAATCTCCCAAAACTCTCCCTCAAAACCCTATCGATCCATAACCTACAACCTGCGTGCTGTTCCAAAACCTGTCCAGCACCTGGACCTGTAGCAAACAATCACTTCTACACCAGTCACCACTGAAAAACACAGCACCTTCAAGATCCTACATCAGAACATTCAATCCTTAAAAACAAAATACACGAAATAGAAATCATGCTAACATATCATATAAAACACACTAATGCAATCTGTATAACTGAACACTGGCTTACGGAGGATTAAATAAAAATGACACAAATACCAGGTTTCTACTTGGCTGGTTACTTCTGTTATAGGGCCAAACACACCAATATCAATCATGCATGGAGGCTTATGTATATATCTGGCCAACCACTGTGATTCCAAAGAAATGAAATCAAAAGAATAACATGCGACTCAGACATAGAATGTTCAAGTGTAGAAATTCCAAAGCTGAACATCTTCCTCTTAAGCATTTATCGAGCACCTGATGGAATTCTTCAAATATTCTTTAAAAACTTAGAATTAATCTTGGATAAATTAACAAAGCGGGCTCATTACTCTATTATAATCTGTGGCGATATAAACATTAACTTCGCACCTACAGCTAATATTACTCATGAAAGAGAATCAAACTAGTAAACTTAGTACGCTCCTATAATCTAGATGCAGTAATTGACACACCTACCAGGCAGTCAAAGAACTCCCAAACAGCAATAGACCAGATCCTTTTTGACAAAACAAAACACACATACACCACTAATGATATGGGGCTCAGTGACCTTAAAATAAATTCCACCTCACCAAAAGCAAACCTAATAAAGGAGACCAGGAAGTATAATGAAAAAAAACTGAACAATCTTATCTCACTGTTAACTAATGAATCATGGTCAGGGGTATATGAAATATCTGCCATCAACCTAAAGTTTGACACTTTCTTTAATACAATCAAACACTATTTCAACATCTCACATTCACTACAGTATCACAAAACAGTAAAGCATGGATAACAAAAGGTATTAAAATTTTGTGTGAAAGAAAAAGAGAGAGATTTATAAACTCACATAAGAACACTCATGCAATCCTTAAATAGTCAACTACTATAAGCAATATTCAGCCATACTCAAAAAAGTTATAATAAAGGCCAAACAAATGTCAAATGGTGAGTATATAAAAAAATCCAAAAATAAAACAAAAGCTATGTGGAATATTGTAAAGAAAACATAACCAGCAAATAAAAAAACACAAAATATCGAACTAGTCCATGAACACAGAAGAACAACAAAACCCTAATGAAATAGCCATTATATTCAACAATCACTTCTCTGAAATTGCTGGTAAACTACTAAAAACAAGAAATCCAAACACTACACCTCTACAACCATCACCTTTCTCTAAAAACTCGCTTTCTAGCATGTACATTACAGAAACAACTGAAAAGGAAATACTTCAAATTATAAACAAAATGCAAAATAAACAATCCGCTGGGATAGGCAACATTCCAGACTTCTTAAAAAAAAGATTGCTCCATATATCATCAAACCATTAACATATTTATACAACCAATCACTAACTCATGACTCCTTCCCAAACATATTTAAAACTGCTGTAATTAAACCTATACAGAAAAAAGGTAACAAACAAGATGTAATGAGTGGCCAGTCTCACTCTTGTCAGGTTTTTCAAAAATATTAGAAAAACTGTTCTATGAAAGATTAAAAAACTACTTCATACACTAACATTATCACTGACTCACAACATGGATTCAGGAAAAATCGTTCAACTGAAACTGTTCTATTCACTTTTGTAAATGAAATCCTCATGGTATTAGAGCAAAAAGAAATTCCTGTTGGTCTCATTCTCGACCTGTCAAAAGCCTTTGACACGATAGATCACACAATTCTATTGTCAAAATTAGAATCTTATGGAATACGAGGAATTGCTTACAATTGGATAAAATTATACCTATCAGACAGAAAACAAATAGTAGTACTACCTTACCAAAAAGGCAACAAAATAAATAACCATTACTCCGAGCCAAGGGATGTGACATATGGGGTCCCGCATGGGTCCACACTAGGCCCGACTTTATTTCTTATATTTGTAAATGACCTGCCATCCATAATGGAAAACAAGAAAACCGTACATTTTGCTGATGACACTAATATAATATTCAAAGAAAGAACAAATAAAGCTTTGCAAGACAAAGCCAATTCAGCCATCGACAAGCTAGTTCAATGGATCCACCGTAACAAACTAATCCTAAACCAAGTCAAAACAATCACAATACCCTTCCACAACTCCCACTCAACACAACAAT